TAAGCCTTGAGGTATTTGCTCGAGCAAAGCCCCGCTGCTAATAACACAAGCTTCATACTGTGCCAGGCAACCTGGCTGCAATGCACCCAGGTTACTGTTTGAGAAAGAGCAGGAGAGGAAAGAAGGCAGAAGGAAGTCAGATGGAGATCACAAAACAACCAAAGATCCTGGAAAGGGGGTGAAGACATTAATACAGAAAGAAAATAAGCGAGAGAGCAAGAAAGCAAGTGAAAAAAAAAAAGAAAAGGAAAGAAAGAAAGGCTGCACTGCAAAACATAAATAGCTGCCGGGTTAAGAGAAAAAGGATCGGGAAGACATTTAGTGGGAAGCGGAAATCAATAAGGCAAGCGGTGAAGCTGGGAGGGAGTTCTAAGTGGATTAGATTGAGAGAATGTGTTCGATAGGTTATGGCTCTGAGAGAGAGGTAGCCAGACACCGCAGGCTCTATTGCATACTAATAAGGAAGCCAGCATGGAAGCTAAGCACAGGGTTGTGCAGTTCACTGTGAAGATTTTTTTCTATATATCTCTGGCATCAGTGGTTACGGTTTTTCCCAGGGTTTGGGGTTTAGCTTGTTCCTTAAAATTCATGTTCAAGATAAAACTCCATCTCGACTGCAATGAGAGCTATTCTCCAGACTTGTTCAAACATTATGGCACAAAATTTACAAGGAGTTGAGTAACTGTAGTTAAACTTGACAGCGGTGTCTTTAATGCGCTCCTCCTTACAACAAGTTTTGTTTCACGTTTCTGGCATAAACCCAGCCGCCATTTCTCTGGCCAAGCGCCTGGGCCTGGGACAGCTGTCATGGTCGGAGTCTCAGGCTTGAGGGAAAGCCAGGGACTGAGGAAAGAAAAGAGAACGGGAGAGAAAAGGAGTGAGAGTCACTTGGCCGGGCAGTGTGCCGCAGGGGTGATTCCTGATGGCAGAGGAGGATAAGGGGATACGAGGGGGGAGAGAGGCAGGGAGGGTTAGATGTTTTGCTTAGTCACAGACCTCCACTGTGACCCAGAAGGTCAGACCTCCACACTGGCCGCCTGACCAAAGCCTCTGAGGCAGCCAGGCGGAAAACAAGATGCAAACAGCGATCCCGAGCAGTGTGGCGAGAAGGCAGTGGAGAGTCTTGAAGATACCGACCAGCCAGACTACCCAGCTTGAGGGATTGGTTCATTGGGTGAAGGGGTGTGTGCGGGAGACAATCACAAGGGCTTACTCCCCCTCACTTAGGCCAGTGAACCAAGGGACCACCGGCTATACCACAAGAAGTGGCAGAAGAGCGGAGACAAACAGTTGCCAAGAGACCACCGGTGATCCCATGACTGCTGTGGTTTGACCCCGATTGAAGAGTTCAACGACAGGGGCTTAAGAGAATCCGCCCTTCCCCAACAGCTCTGCTGACCACCACCACCCCCACGGCAAAAAGTCTTCCTCCTCCACGTGCCCCGGGCCAGCACAGGCATGTTTTCACTGATCTGTTTTGCTCAATTAAACTTCAGAGGACACCCTGTCACATCTCTTTGTAAAGGTCGTGACCTTAGGGGCAGAGGTTAAGCCTGGCAATTGTAAAACAAGGTTTTGATTAACATGGCGGCTTGTATCCGGAGGTAATCCATCCATTTCTACAAACTATCATGGAAAAAAAACATCACAGGGGGTGTGGGGGTGGGAGTAAAGGTAATGATGTTTTATGGCCACGTTAACTTTCAGCACACGACTAATGGGAAGGCTGCTTGACCTTGACTTCTTTCATCCCGATTTGGACTACCTCAGCAATCCTCGACTCTCACGGTTTCTGAGGAAATCCACTGCCAACTTTCTAAATGCTCGGAAATCTTTTTAGGAATTAGTCACTGAAGATCATGTAAGATCTTAATAATCTTAATAAAAAAAGCCTTTTTACAATGTTATTCTCTAATTTCTCCTTTTTTCCATACATGGCCAGAAAGAACAAGTGAACACAATAAGTATATCTCTGCAGTTGCGTGAACAAACAGGGATGAGCAGCCTAACAAAAACCACATACAAACGAGGCCTAGAGACTCCCAGCATGTCCCGACACGATGATTATCTACATGCCCCGTTGCAACTATTCCATCACGCTGTCAAACTGGATATGCAAAATATGAATCTAGGAGGTGAGAGTTGATGATTTAAAAAAAACAAAAACAAATAAGAATTCCCCTTCTTGTTTGATTGGAAAATGATAAAATGGTGCAGTGGATTACCACGGCAGTATGTGTGTGTGAGTGTGAGAAGCCCGGGCCCTGCATTGAACGCGGCCTGCCAGTTGGCACAATGGATGCCACAACCCCCACTCCCAGCCCCCAGCCTACTTCCCAGCGGGCATTCATCTGGGCATGCACATGGGTGCTACAGCTCTGCCTGGCTAAACGCGTCTGTGCCCCAGAACAAGGGAGCTGAGTGCCCTCTCAAAATTCACCCGGTACTCTCGCTGCCAACCCGCCGACCTTTCTCAGGCAGCAGCCCACCAGAATCAAAAACAAACACTCTATGAACCCCATTTTTTTTCTCACGAAAAGTAACAACAAAATAAAGATTTTCCAGAATAAATAACAGCAGCGAAATAACGGATTAGAAAACACGGCATAAGCAGAACTACATTAAAAATCACAGTCCGAACTCGCTCTTTTCCCCCCCCCCGCCACAAAGTTCGCACAATAACCAGATTCTGTTGCAGCCCGAGCCGTTTGCTACTTTCTTTGTGTTTGATTGTATGTTTGTTTGTTTCGTGCAGTTGCAGCAGAACAAAGGCAGCGGCTTCCATTCTGCCACTGTCAAAAAACTTTCCCAACGTGCCCACTGCATTGCGGATGCCAACCAACGAATCAAAGGCACGCTGCAAGCAGACAAAGAGAGTTTGATGCCAACCTCCAAACCTCTAACAACCATTACTGGTGATTTTGCCTGCCTCCCTGGCACCGTGTAAAACAAAATGGCGCCGTGCCGCACGCTACCACAACATGGCTGCATTGTCTGGGTTTGTGGACCGCTCGGTAACTTAAAGAAAAGAAGGCGACGCTTTAGTTTGCAAAAACTGGAGAAGGAAAAGAAAAAGATGGCCATCTGAGTGATCCCCGCTATTCGGCGTTTGCCAAGCATTTCACTCAATGGGAATTTTGAGGATGGCGGCAAATGATCGTTCCCATATAGAAAAACATGACATTATTTTAACCTTTTATTATAAACACTGAAACGAATCTTCAACATGATCGTCCTCTCTACTCAGATACAGTTTACTAAAACAGCGGCTGTTTTATAAAGTCAGTTTTGTGAAAAAACAGCACTAAATGCCGTTTCTCGAGTTGGTACTGAGCAGTTCAAAATGCAGCAGATGTAAACCAGGGAAGCGGTGGCATCCTACAAAAGACACAAAAGAGGGTCTGATGCCAACCCCGGTGCCAATGGCAACCATTATTGTCTCTGTGCTGTGCCTTCTGCTTTCCCTGGCACTTATCAAACACAAAATGGCGCTCAGGGTTTGATGATAATGAGCTAGCTATACCACTACCCTCCAATGGGAGCACAGTGTAGTGGCAGCTATTCGGTGTGGTTGCAGTAGATTTAAGGGCAGCACATGAGAGGTTTAAAAGTGTGGGATGTATATGACTGAAATGTGTTTACTCGCAGTCAGAGGAGACCTGAATTTCATTTTCAAAGGCTTTTTAAAGGTGTTATCTGATTCGAGATCCGAGTAGGAAAAAAAACAACATCATTCACAGTATCCTGTGAAAAGTGTTTTCTGTAGAACTCATTGAACCTGGAAGAGATCACATCTGAATGCGGCGTTGCTCTGATCATGCTCTGAGTGAAAATCTCCCAGTTTACAGTCTGCATGACTGACTATGTAAACCAGTTTCTGGTGATGTACACTAGAAACACCGTTTCTATTCTGGACTTTCAGAAATGCCTTTATTTTATTTTTGCGGCCGTGTTTACTATTTTTTATTAAAGGGGAAAAAAAGAAAGAAATCCTAGCAAATTAATTCTGGAAAGAAAAAGAAATAAATTAAAACATCAATTTAAAATATATGCATGACAAAAACTATAACTATTACCCTCTTATAAAGTACACTTCCTAAACTGTGCAAAATGTGTCCTCTAAACCTTTCATGTAAAAGAATCCAGTTTTTTTAGGGATCGGGAAAATAACATGAAATAACATGACACACAAAGAAGAAAACAGAAAAAACAGAAACTTTAAATTTTATAACAGCTGAAAGTGTTTTTATGTCTGTAATGTGACTTACTATTAGAAATCTCTTCATTGAGCACACGTATTACCATTTTAATTGGTGGAAAATCAACAGTGTTTGCAGACAAACCAGTTTGAAATTTTTATCGTGGAATGAAAACTAAAAAGGGACAAATGCCATGATTATTTTTAAAATATTGAGATTAAAAAGTGAAAGATTTTTTTTAAATCTTAGGTTACATTAAATGTTATTTATTTATTTATTTATTTATTTATAAATGAATTAATAAAATATAACACTGCTCCATATATTCAGCATTTGGACATTTAAGACTGAAACTTTCCACAAATGCCACCACTTGATTTCCAAACAAATGGATCAGTTATGCAGTGTGTGTGCAGTTGTGCAATCCTGTGTGTGTGTGTGTGGTTGTGTGTGTACAAGGTAACTGAATAATTACAGGAGAATTACAGGGATATAAGCTGCTGCTGGATTTCAGCAAAGCAAACACAGTTAACACATGGTCTTATCTAATTTTGATGACATTGTTTTTGTAATGAGGCTTGCTTAGAAAAATAAAAATGTTTGTGGTATAAATGTATGCACAGTACTGACCGTCACAGTCGTACATTTGCTCCTCTGGCAGATTTAGAATTGCCAGAAAATAACTCATGCGACTCTTGACCTTGCTAAATCATCACTCACTCTCTCACACACACACACACGCACAACATTAACTGGCTCTCTCTCACACACACAGAGAATCAGTATGAACTTGAAACCTACCTTGGTCCTGGACATAGTATGCTAGAAACAAGTCCAGCTCCTTGACTGATACTGTTATGTGGTGTGGCTGGACACAAAGTGCTGGGTTGGTGCAATGTGGAGACTTGACGAGGCGCTCGCCATCTGTACTTTCCAGAGGGATGCCTTTGAAGAGGATGACCATCACCAGGTCCAGACGCCATACTTTGTCGGCCTGCCGCAAACAGTCGATTCGTCGTATCTTGCCCTTTTGGTCCGGGTTGGATAGCACGCAGCAAGGGGGCTTCTTGCCCGTCACGCTGAGGACAAAGTCCTCCCGGTACTCCTGCCGAATGTCCTTACGCAGCTTGGCTAGCAGCCTGGATGCCCATTTCTGCTTAACCTCGGGCTTCTCGCTCAGAAGCTCATCCTTCACCGCGCGCTCCTCGTCCTTGGACATCCGCTTCTCGTGCTTCTTGAAGTACTTGCGTTTTCTGGCCTGGAGGTTGAACCACGTGTAGGCGATGGCGCGGACGTGAGGAAGAAGTGCCTCGATGAAGGGATGAAACTCATCCTGGAGCATCCGAGGGGCACAGTGTGGAGAAAGAGAAAGAAAGAGAAGGAGAGAAACGGAATCAGAAACTCATGTCATCAAACATGAAGAAATATGTGTTTACCCAGCTACTAATTTAAAGCAGAAGGGAAGTCAGACCACAATTTTAAAATCCCTCATAATCAGTCACATAATGTCACTGGCAGTTTCTTCAAGCTAAGAATGATCTCTTTATATTAGGAACTCTAGCTTTACCATCCTAGATATGCTGCAGGTGTGACAAGTAAATTCCACCGTTTATATCAACTCGAAGCCCGGTGACTGAATGCACTTGCAGCTCTGCTCGCATTTCACGAGCATGCTCTGAGTGGGACTCCTGTAACACTGCTGCTGCTGGTGCTGCAGGGAGCATGCGCCCCACACAGTTGCATTTCTCTTATCAAACTATCCACATACCATAATCTGGAAGTGGGATGCAACCATTAAAAAAATAAAAAATAAAAAAAGGAAGGCAGAGAGATACTCATTCTTCAGACACGATGCACACGGCCTCATGTATACATGCCAGCTTAATGTACAAAACGGAATAAAACACAGGCAGGCGAGAGAGGCGGCACATCAAATGAAGCAATAGTGTGAAAGGTATTTGCAAAGGTTGATCGAGTACTCAAAGGATTTCATGCCAAATCGTTTCAAGCATTGAGGTTAACACATGGAATGGCACCTGCCCAGCTTCATTCCTAAAAGTTGAGGTTAGGCAGCCCGGCCTACTGTTAAAATGTTTCATCTCACTTTTATTTAGCTATTCATTTTTGTTTAACTCATTTCGTATTACAGTCATATTACACTACTTTGTGTTGCATTACAAAATTGTTACCTTTGAATAAAACACATCATTATGGATTTTTTGCCACTCAATTTTTCCCCCCTTCAAAAATACAAAAAAAAGGACACTAATTCCTACAACAACTCAGCAACTAAATGGCTAATATTAATACTGCTTCACTGATTCAACAATAAATTATATTTGTTTCATTTCTTAATTCTTGTTCTCTGGGAATCTCTAGGAATCAGCAGAAAGGACTGCAGCTGAGGGGTGGAAACATTAAATTATTTTTGTTTGAGGTCATTAAAATGCCAGATTTAATAACTATACACAGGCGTTTTTAGGGTGGGAAGACTTTTGACGAGTTATTGTTCTTTTTGTAGGCAGTCAGGCAACAAGCCGGCTATAGCAAACCACAGAAATCCCCTCTCTATCTGTGGCTGCTGCTGGTGCTCCTCTAAAAAGCCACATTTCTGGTCTCAGGCTCCATCGCTGATAAAACTCTGCTCCAGTACACTAATGTCAAATTATGATCATTTATTACACTGAAAGAGGTAACTCTGTGTATGTTGCAGATTCCATTAACAGCTTGTAAATGTATTATATTCACTGTGAATAGTATAGCTCCTCATTGTCTTTCAGAGAGGTTAAAAATCCATTCAAAACTTCTTTTAATGTCATCTCCTCACTATAAAGCTGCCAATTAAAATGACAAAAGCAAGTGTAAATGCTAGTAAATGTGTTCGCTCGCAACTGTTTCTCAAATCCTTTTTTCACTCCTGCTCAAAATCACTTTAAATATTCTGTTAATTTTTTTTTTCTAGCCAGGTTAAAGCCAAATGCTGTAAAGATAAATGACTTGGCCAGGGCCTGTGCAGTGCACTTCAGCTGGGGCCATAAAAGCACAATCCTCTTAAGTACAAGCTAAACCACATCTCAGTCAATCACTTACTTATGCCAAGTAAAATATAAACAGTAAAACTGAGTCAGCCAAAACAGTCAGCTACTCTGTCCAACCGCTGAATCAACTTTATCACGCGTTTGATCTTTCTACAGTGCAAGTGGCTTTATCTTCTTCCAACTTCACTTCCCTAAAGTATGGGGGCTTTATTCTAAATAAAAAATATACGCCTGGAAAATATATATACATAAATATATAAATATATATGTATAGCCACAGCTCAAGCAGGGCCGGGAGGTGCGCGCCTGTGTGTGTGTGAGAGAGACAGAGAGAGAGAGACAGAGAGAGGTTATTGGAGGACGCAAATAAGCTAATTAAACCAGAGAAAAATACCTGCACCACTTACACAGGATTAGCAAGAATCGAGTCTTTTGGTTCTATCTTAAAACTCATCTTTACGCAAAAGTTTGTAAAGAGCGAAGAACGTGTGAAGATTTGCACTTCAAGCGCCAACAGGACACAGCCGATCTTTCGTTAGGACTTTCGTAGAAAAGACATTTTAAAATATATGTGTCACGACTTTATCACAAAAACATATAATCTCAGTCGAGAAGTTTTTGCCTCGCTTTAATGCCATATCTTTTATTTATTTATTTTACTTACAAGGGAAAGTCTGTATTATTTATAAGAATTATGAAAGTAATTCACAGCGCAGACACTCAACTTTCTATTCCCGGGCTAAAACAAAAAACAAAAACAAAAAAAACAAACCGTGTGACAATTTTTATACAAATTAAAAATCACAGCGATAAGATGCATAACTTTAAAAAAAAAAAAAGACACAATTACCTGAGTTAGACAAATCGGGGAATACATGACGAGACGGCTACACAGAAAGTGACTGTACTTGGAGCGATTCCTCAGATCACTTTATCGCGCCATTCCTGGATCCGCTGTGCGCTATGAGAGACTCTGTGGATCCGCGTAAAAACCAAAAGTAATTATCCAATAACATCCATGAATTTCTGCAAATCCAGAGATTGTCTTCACCGCAGACAAAGACAGATTTTCTGCAGGCGATTTTTTTATTCTCTGTTTTTAAGTTGACATGCACGGACTGTACTCGTAGAGCCGGTGTGCGAAACGAGGCTGCCGCTGCTGTACTCCTGAACTGCACGGGGCTCTGCGCGCGTCTCTGTGCGGCGTTATCTCATGAAAGCATTACGGGGAGCTTCAGAGGGCGCCGAGTGTGGGATGTTCACCCCTGCTTTAACCAAACTTGATATGAAATCGACCGGTGCGCCCTCGGTCCTGCGCGATTCCAGCAAATCAGACCCAACTTTTTTCACCCACGTAATTGCACAGTCACACTCCTCCCCCTCCTCCCCCTTCCAAACACACACCATATCCAACCCCTCCAAGCACCTTCTTCTCCTTCTCGGCTTTATATGAACACACCGCATGAAATTCATTAACCCCCCCCCCACACACACACACACACATAAACGCACACCTCCCTCCTTCCTTCCTTCTGCAGAATTATTTTATGACCTTCTGGGACTTTGGACCGCAGCCTCGGTCACATACACGAACGTAAACAAACGGGGGAAAAAACGTCCCGCTGCCACCCTTTTTTTTAACCACCGAGCTCCGTGTCAACAAGACACACGCACTCTACGTTTCCAGTTCAGATAATTCAACGCAGTGTTGGTGGCTCACAGTGATAACAAACCTTTTAGCTTGTCAGTTACACACCAAGCAGCAGTACTTTATTAGCCTGTTAACGTCTGCTGGAGAACTTCTTAAAATATCATTTCTTTAGGGGGGACAGAAATAAAGGGAGGTACATTTTATTAAACTTTTTTTTAAAAACCAATTTCCAACACAATTAGCCTGCATTGTTCTAGAAACAATAGGTAAAAGGGACACCTAGCTTAAACTTTAGCACCCGTTAAAATGAGTTTATAGGTATTAAATGTTTTAATTTATTAAATTATGTTGTGCTCTCAGAAACCCCTCCTCAAAATAGAACTCCCTGACTTAAAAGCGTTGATAACGCCGTTAGGAAGTGCTCATTTAGGGCGAAGCTTGGCGGGTAGGTGTACAGTAACATTATAGTAGTAGAGCTAAAAGGAGTCAAAGTTAAACATTGTTACGGTGCCGCTACAGTGCGCGCGCACGTGTGTGCCCTACAGAGCTGTTAACAGTCTACACGGAGCTCATTTGCCAGATTAAGGGGGACTGGGATGTTAACATAGGCTGCGGGACAGTCTGTGCCAAGTTTACAACAATTTTGGCCCGACCGTGCCTGTGTTGTGGTCCCTGCAAAGTCAACCCACCTCTCCACATTTCTCCTCTCCCCCCCAACAGCCGCGAGGACGGGACAGTATATTTTTTTAAAGAAAGGTACACAAGGATTGCTACACAACATTTGAAAGTAGTAATGATCCACGTTCACGTACCATTGCACTGTACTGCATGGATTAATGGGGAATCCTGGAGCCTGGTTGAAACACACAAGCCGGTAGCTTCACATTTCTCACGCTCAACTTTGTGCTTTGAAGGGTTTTCTCTCTTGTAGTGCTCGCAAGAAAAAAGTCAACACCGGAAGACAATTCTTGGCAGATATCGGTGAGAAGAAGTTAGGAGCACCTCGCGTTTTTTTCTCTTTTTTTTCTTGTCTTCCTTCCTCTTAAAGTCTTACTTTTTTGGATCGTTTTTTAGGGTTGTCCAGTGAACTTGAACGTGATCCAGAAGAGGCTGAGTTTTCGGCACTGGGTTGGTCTCCGCCTTCACTTTCACTGCCTGGCTGGCTGCCGCCCCTCCGGCTCTCAGCACTAACCGTCAAACCGCACGTAGGCTAAACAGCGCCATTTCCGATACGACCTTTCAAAATAAAACAATCTAAGCTTAAGACTATTAATTGAACAGAAATTGACATAAAATATTTACCCAAAGTAGCATTGTAATAATATGTAAAATACCTTGAGACCTATTCGTAATTTCTTCTATGTTTGCGCATTTTAGGGGGCCGCTATTGCTCTTCACGAAATCAAGAATTTATCAAAAATATGTCTTCCTGAAAAAAAAGTACTTCAAATAGGTGGCAGCATATTTTTTAAAGTATTGTCCTACTGTGAATTATATCACAGATTTTCTTAATATTTTTGTATGAAATATCAAATTCAGATCAGCTCATATGCTGGCGTGATACATCTTATTTTGAAATTGAAACATTACAATTTCCGGTACGAGCAACCCGTTTATCTGCAGCTTGTCAGAGCGCAGTTTTGTAATAGCCTTTACATTCTTGCCTCTCATTGGCCAGCAGCCGTGGCCCCGGGACTCTGTACCCTGGGCCCCTCACTTCCGCTCCTCTGACGTGCATGTTTGGGGTTGACAGAGCGGCTGCTGCTGGACGGCAGGGCTGAATAGCGATAGTTACTGAGTGATGATGAAAGCAGTGCATCGCAGCAGTTATTGCCCTAAATGCAGTCTCCTGTGGTAATGAAAATTAGATTCATATTTTCAATATTTGCAGTTAGAGGAGGTGGCAGTAGTGCTATTATCAGTGTAAAATGACAGTAAACTATAGTTGGAAAACGTTTTCACATATTAAGATGTGCCCACGAGGGCTGGCCGAATAGTGAAGGAGGCACACATGGAGGAAGCAATAGTCATTACAAGGTGTGTGGGTTATTAGTGCTCATCGGACAAAGGGAGACAGATCAGGCTTGTTTCGAGTGACCTTGAAAAACGAACAACCTCTAGAAAATAAAGCTCTTCCTACAAGATCAAATCGTGTTCATGAGACATGTAGTTAATATTCATTAAGAAAATATATGAACACATTTTAATTATTAATATTATCCAATTGTTCCCACAGAGAAACACGAACAGCACATGTTGTTCGGTGTGTTTAAAAGACTGCACATCTTCCCTATATCGAAAGACTAAACTCGTGAATAATCATTCAGTGGATGCCCATTACTGTACACAGAGCATCCAATCCACAACAATAGCAGAAAATGTGATCGTGAATTGAATGGAAAGTCTCACAATAGATTTTTAGTGCCTCTGTCATCACTGCTGTGGTGACATTAACACACTGCTTATAACATCCAAAAATGTCACCGCAGTCACGTGTATCCAGCGCTTGTTTGTATTGTTAAGACTAAGAGGACTCAGCTGTAGTAAAAGTGACTGATCGATAACCATTTGAAAGATAAATCAGGTCTGATAATGTTAGTGTGTCAGTTCGCATTGTGCTATTTCCTCCTTGGAGGTTGAATAGATTTAGTCCCTCTGACTATTAGCCTTTGGATTTAAAAGCCCTCCTTCAGATCATTATTGAACGGAAATTTTAAATAAAAGTAAATAAATAATTTGTGACACGTTCAGTTCACATTTCTTAGAATGTTTTAGTCTTTGTTCATTTTACTTCTTATTTGCTGTTAATGTTACCATAAAAGGCTGAATCATTATCTCATAATGACTCCATTCTCTCTCTGCCTCCATTAATCCAGCCCTGTATAGTGCGATCCACCGGCGCACATGGCAAGAGCCCTCACAGATTCAGCACTCTCAACATGGAGCTACCGCCCCCATGTGGCCGCAAGCAAAACTGCAAGGTGGGGGAATAAATGCTGTGGTCGTTATAGTGTGGTACAACCAACACCAAGTGGGTTGTCACAAGCATGCACAGGACCCACAAGTATTTTCTTTGACTTACTAAAAGTCTGAATTTCTCATCGAAAATACAAATTTACTGTCGCTCTGCTCTGACTTGTCACAGTAGAAAAAGTGCAGATGTAACCATTAATTATTAACAGCGGTTCTATGAACATGTCAGTCGTTTGCAATCCAGCCATCTTTCATTTTATTATTCATTTATTATTCATAGAGCATAGACCTTTGAAAAACAAACTCTAAACATACTTTTTTAGTACAACAGTGTTATCATGGACCTACCATTGGGTCTACCATTACGCTCCAGCAGTGACCTTTTGGTTTTAAACTCTAGCAGGTTCCACAGTTAAGGAAACAAGAACACAAAACACAATTTTTGAAATGTACATAATCTGATTTGAGTTATTTTAATTAAGCTGCAGTGTGAATAAAGGGCTATAATCAGGGGAATGTATGGTTGTACTTAATTACTTTACTTTATATGGAATTTTATCCCTTTTCCCTCTTATTCCACATACTGAGACGATGCACCACATTTTTACTGGCTTTAGCTTACAAAGCTCAACATGTAAGTCTCTCAAGACTTGTGGCTAAAAAAAGAAATTAAAAAAAGGGAGAAAGATGGCACATTTTAAAGCTAAGATAAGATGACCTTTATTAGACCCAGAGTTGTGAAATTCACGTCATATTACTCAACACTAAATCATTGACATAAAGCAGCAGAGACACGACGTTTCAAACCAGGAACAGATCCTATGTGGTATACTGTACATGACAGACAGAACGTTTTTGCATTGTAACTCTTTATATGACCTTTTTTTTTACCCCTTCCAAAAACATTTGGTGTCAGTAAGAGGTTGTTTGGGTGAAAAGATCGTTCAAAGTAGGAACATAATTGATAAAAGTTTGAAAAATATATCCCTAAATATAATATAGGGCGCTGCTACTGCTATTGCTGCTTCTGTGTATTTAATTGTGCATTTCTCCTGCAAAAAAAACCAAACAAACAAAAAAAAACCCCAAAAAAGCAAGAAAAACAATACAGATTTTGTGCTTAAATGGGTTGGATCTGCAACTTCCTACCAATTGCACAATTTCCTACTTTCACAACATCAGTTTTTATTGCAAGAGAGCAGCTCAGTGTATCTCAGCTAAAGCCTTCGCTATTCTAGCCTTCAGCATTCACATTTAATGAACTGCTGTTCCTGGCAGTGATGCACTTGACATCGTCTTCTGTCCCCTGTTTGCTTGGAACTGTGCTCATAATGAATCCCGAATTCTTAAAAGCACGTATTCTTTTTTTTTTATATCCTTCATAACGGCGTGAGGTAAATGTAATTCTGTGCAGTGTCCAATTAAAATTACTCACAAACCACGAGTGAAAACAGGAGAAAATAAAGTAAAAACCGAGGAAAGAATGGGGGGGGTTGTATACACTGATACACACGAAGTTAAACCCTGGAGTTGGGGCACAATAAAAGCTCGCCTGTGCCCGGACAAGTAAATAAATATTCAGAAAGAAATGTCAGCCTGTGTTGCCTCTTCAGCATGGGAAAGGCGCGGGCTGGACAAGGGCTCTTTGTGCAACACTAAATTAACACTGCTGAGGGTGCACGGAGAGGTGCACTTGAGGAGCGCTCTTATGCTAAAAGGCAGGTTGAATACTTCCTTTAGTTAGCTATCCCAGTGAAAATACAA